GCAGATCGCGGAGGATAGGTGTTATGTGGGCGAATTGAGGTGCACCCACGATCGCTCGCGCGGCCGCATTCTGGACTAGCTGAAGTCACCGGGCGCTCTTCAAGGGCAGCCCCATGTAGAGCACGTTGCAGTATTCCAGCCTAGAGGTCACAAGGGCCCGAGTGACTGTTGTGAGGGCCTCCCGGTTCAGGTAGGGTCGCAACTGGCGCACCAGGAGAACCTGGGCAAATGCCCCCCTGGTCACAGCCAACAAATGATGGTCGAAAGTCAGCTGTGGGTCCAGGAGGACTCCCAAGTTGCGAACCCTATCTGAGGGGTATAAAATTTGACCCCCCAGCCTGAGCGATGGAACACTGGCCAAATTATTGGGAGGAAATAAATATTGGGAGAGAAAGAGGATGAAGACAGATCCTCCCTAATAGTTCACAGTAGGTGCAGAAAACAGAATCCTCAGTCTGGCAGCCTTTTTTCTATAGATGTGAAACAATAAAGAATTAAGTTTGGAAAACTCGCTATTCTTGGTTTTGTGCTCCACAGCCACAATACTCTCTACGTGCTCAATGGGATTTTATTTCTGTTCACATGGCCTTTTGTTTTACTATATCTCACACCTTGACCACACCGTAATTATAATTCTTCGGTGTTGCTTTGGTTTTTACTTGCTAACTCATCCTTTTTGAACTGGCTTATACTATGATAAAGTTTCTCTCTCTTGCTATTTCTCTCCCTCCCTGCCTCACAGCTATCTCTATCCATTTTTAATCCCGTGAACCCAATCCAATCTCTCCTGTCCATCTCTGCCTGCCAGTCATCGCTATCTGTTGAAGATGGTTTATGAAGAAACTCGCATAGCCTTGCCAAGGAACTTATCCCTCGTTGTGATTGTTTTTTTTACCGGCAGGGTTGTAAAGTGGTCGGCACTGCGGGCTCCGATAAAAAGTTGGATTACCTTAAGGAGCTTGGCTTTGACGAAGTCTTTAACTATAAGACGGTGAAATCCCTGGAGCAGGCCCTGAGGGACGCTTCCCCCAATGGCTACGACTGCTATTTTGATAACGTACGTACAAGACGGAGCTCAGCTTTGAAGTGGCCTAAGATAGGAAGGGAAGCTGATCTAAGGAACTTCCTGTCGTTGAAAGCTGCTTTGGGCCAGGCAAAAAAAAAAGTAGCCCTTCATACTGAACTCTCTCCTGCAGTCCCTAAATCAGGCTTTTTAATATTTTGGGACACTTCTCTCATCCCTTGCATTCCTCTCTCCAAGGCAATACCCCACTGGTCTCCTTGCATAATGTAAAGTGCATACTTAATGGCAATAATAACAAAAATAAGATTTTAAAAACTGGCTTCTCTGGGAGCTAAACAGACAACTCCATATCTCCCCTGACCCTTATAGATAACATTTTTCAGTGTAGGCATGAATCATTGAAGTAGGTGTATGTGTTGTTTGCGACCCTCATTATATGGGTGTGGCCAGGGGTAGGCTTCAAAAAATTTAGCAATGGGTTCTCTGCCCGATTGCTGGGTGGGGGTGGCCATGGTGGGCGTGGCCTAGTCGGCCTCTGCACCACGGTGGTGGTGGGGCCATTTTCTCCCTCCCCAAGTTCCGGAGGCTTTTCTCGAGCCTCTGGGAGGGCGAAAAAGGCCTCCCCGGGCTCTGAAGGCCCTCTCACTCACAACAGCTTGTACAGTATCTTTAGTCATTCTTCGAGGTAACCTCCCTCCCCTCTTTTACATTCACCAAAAGACTTGATCAGAGCAACAGTATTTTGTCTTTTGATGCCATTTTTGAGAAAAATCAGTGAAGGTGTTACGTGATTATTTCTATCCAGCAGAAGGAAATTCACTGGCAGCTCAAATTCGTCTTCTCTTTTTCAACCTATTCTGGGCTTCCAGAACTCACCCGCTGAGTTAGCAGTTTACGCGGAGCAGTTTTAGGTAGACTTGCCAAAAAGAAAAGCAGAAGGGAAACTTTTATGGCAGAATTGAAAATTCACGGCCTTCGTATTACATGTGACCTCCTGTTTCCTTCAATTGGGAGATGTTTAAGTGCCTGAAATTCTCAAAGCAAAATCCTGCATTTCGTTCCTGTGATCTTTGTTTCTAAGAACAGATTATGGGTATTAGTTGAGCTCTTTCAAAATAATTCCATGTAGATCAGTCAATAATATCCCTCCTCTGAGTATTTTAGTCTTGGCAAATGTTGTGTTGTCTTTGTCCCCACCAGGTGGGAGGTGAATTTTCCAGCATTGTTTTGGAGCAAATGAATAAATTTGGGAGAATTGCGGTGTGTGGTGCTATCTCCTTGTATAATGACACCCAAGTCAAAAAAGGTACAAATCTATTTTTCTTTCTGCAAGCTGTTTGCTTTCTTCTTCTTCTTCTTTTCTTCTTCTTCTTCTTCTTCTTCTTCTTCTTCTTCTTCCTCTTCCTCTTCCTCTTCTTCTTCTTCTACTACTACTACTACTCCTTCTCCTTCTCCTTTTCCTCCTCCTCCTCCCCCCCTCTTCTTTCTCCTTCTCCTTTCTTCTTCTCTTTCTTTTCCTTCCCCTTCCTGTTCCTCCTTCTCTATTCCTCCCCTTTCTTCTCTTGTTTCTTATAAATGTTGTTATTGAGGTGCAAAATCAAACATTAAAA